ATGGTATCAATGGTAATTGAATTTCATTCCATACCTATGCGAAAATGTTAATCTTTAATTAATACGTTAAAAATGCTGCTGTTAATAACCGGACTAAAAACGTTTTGCTTGGATAAACACACATAAATATCGCAGACCACATTCAACCCACATGGCCATGCGGATCGGATTGCCGTTCCATCCTAAACCAGAAACTGCCGTAAACAGTGTTGATGCAATTGCATTACCACCAAACCCAGCTCCCTGGATACCCGGATTCCCGGATTCCCGGACTCCAATGTGCCTTTTCGCCGAAGACCCACACATGCAGAGCCCAGAGGCGGATGCCGACACCATCATCCGATGCCCAGTGGCCAGTTCCACTCCCATTCCCATACCCATCATCATGGTCATCATCCGTACCGTTTTAATCAATTATAATTGCTAGCATTTTTGATTAGTTGGCACCTGCCTCAATCATCTGCAACGTCCGAATGGTCGGAATCGTTTTGGTCAACCGTACAAAGCAACGGATGTTGGATGTTGGATGTTGGCTGCCTGGACTGGTCATCCACATCAGGAACTGGGGGAAAGGGAGGAAGGGTGCTAAGGATGAGGGAATGTGGTTGGTTGGCTTGGGTGTAGCCATGCCGGATATTCCGGCACAGATAGAGAGTGGGACGACGCCAGGCCTGGCAAACATTTTACGTAATTGCGCACATATTTAAATTGCGTTCCATATTGCACAATACATCAAATTATGGCCCAAAGTAAAGTAAATCTGACAGAGACAGGGGAGAGGGAGAGCGGAGGAGAGTGGAGGAGATGGAGGAGCAGAGCTAAGGCCAGTTAATAAGTAAACCGTTGCCATCATCATCATCCTGTCCGGCTGAATGTCCAGCCATTGTCTCTCTCCGTCTGGCATGCATGCATTTTGCATGAGATTTTTCAGGCGACTGACTCCAGGACTTGTCCCTTAGTGCACTGTAATTTATTTAGATTGTCTTGGCAAATATTTATGCACATCTTTTCATTGATTTATAAATCAATTGCCGCCCCCAGGGAGAGAGAGAGGGGCACTGAGACTGAGCCCAAAAACCGTAATTAACGGACAGGACATCAAGACAAATTACCTAAAAAGGACATTCGCATTCGAAAACTTTCCCCATTGAGATCTCTCCCGTTGCCAGGACACTTTCAGCGAGCCGTGTTCGAAGTTCAAAGCTAATCCTTTTCGCCCTGACTGTCGCCGGAGCTGGATTAGTTTTGAATTGCTTCTGAAACGCTTCTCGCATTACAGCCAATTGTCCGTGGTCCTGGGCTAGAGATCCTTTTTCGCATCCTTGCGGCTCATATCCTTGGCCATGGCTGGTTAGGTTTGCAACTGATTTGATTTCATCCCGGCCAATTGTCCTTGCCAGGCTGCCAGGCTGCTGCTGAGGGGGCGGTTGGTCGTCCTGCCACGCCTACAGCTAAGAGCTCGATAACAAAGAAAACGGCTGAAACGCTCGTCACTAAGCGGCACACTCGAGGTCATGAAAATAGGAATTAAATCTGCAAGATGTTTATGGCTCCTTCTACAATTTTTTAAATTCATTATGTTAGCTTTATAAATATTATTAAATTGCCCCAGAATCATGTAATAAATCAAATATGAAAGCTAAAAAATATAGTTACCAAATCAAGGCTATTTTCTAAATATATATAAATATATATAGGATATATCTTTTTAAATATATTTAAAAATTCATACCTTTTAAGCTATTCCTTTGACCGCTGCCGTGCATATCCTTATCGTCCTGATGTGTGTGTATATAGAGAAAATATTTCACAGGCAATTTCGCAGCCTGGCACACACGCCGCACCCGCCGAGAACGTACCGCTTCGCTCCGCTCCTGCTCCTGTCCCGATGTCCTGGCGTCCTGTCCTGAAGTCCTGCGACGGCTACATTCACTATTGTGCATACACAAACTCTAATAAAAAATTCAGTTCACGTCTCGAGCACTTATTGATACGTGAGCATAGATGCCACTGGCACACAGGCCGTGACATAAGTAGCGCATATATATGCATAAGGTCCTTTGGGTTTCGTTGGGTAGAGAGGGTAGATAAGGACATCGAGGACATCGGCCTCAATCGGACAAAGCAGGAGAGAACGTCTCCAGGGACAATTACTGACCATGAAAAATGGCCAGGAGCCGGGAGACATAAGGACTCGATCAATGCCAATGAGATGAATCAATTTTCGGGATGCCAGAATCACAGGAAATCGATCCAATTAAGGTCACCTATATGTTAAGCCGAGAGCAAAAGGATGACAAGGTCAAAAATCATGAGGCCAAGTTCCTATTTTTTGAAAAATAAACAAACATTTACTACTGGCAACTAAATTAAGAATTTATATATGAACATGCGAGGCAGATACCAATAACCAATAACTAGGACAGTATCCATATTCACGCGTTTCCCCATGAATTACGTGCCATATTGCGGAATTATTCCAAAATGCAATAAACAAAAGAGAAGCAGAAACAAAAACAAACCAGAATAAAACATTGATGCATTTATCCGGCTTTCGGGGAAAATAAATGCAGAGAGACAGAGAGTTTACTCTCCTGCACCTGCGGTGGCAATATCTATAGAATTTATATTTAACCCAAATTCAAGCAATTACGGCATTCATTAAAAGGATTATATTACTCTCCGTTAGGCATATTTTTGTATATCCTTAGACCAAAAATAGAGCCTCAAAATGAGACAATTGCCAATCAAACATATCTCACCTGTATTGTTGCGGAAATTATTATATTTCCCACTAATTAATACGTGAATTTGCAGCGAGTAGATGCCAAGAAATATTGATTACTTTATTACCTATATTATATATACATAGATATGTGTATATTATTGTTATATTATACATTTGTGCAGTCATTCATTTGAGCAGGGAAACAAATCAATTAACATTATTCAGTCAAAAACAATTAATTGCCATAATTAAGCCTGGAAATAATGTTTTGCTCTTTCAGGTGCCACAAAAATAATTAAGATGAACGCATTCGGAATCTGTTAATCAAGACATTGTAAAGTCAGTCTTAAGATGTTAAATCTTAATCGCAAAATATGTAAATTGAAATATATATGTATACACTGAAGGAAAAAGTTGTTGGTCGTAAAAAACTATAAATTCTAGAAGCATTAAAAATTGTCATAAATCAAGGTAGATAAAAATATATAAATTATGTAGTGTTATTATTTTAAAGACTATATCTCAAAACAGATGAAAATATGTTGAATCAAATGAAAACTTATAATAAGAGTTATAAAATGTTTCTATATATATTTCCCGGTTCTTCCTATGAAAGTTATAGATTATAGTATGGATATATATAGGCTCTATTATATACCTAAATAAGATAGTAGACTTTCTATAAAGTTTCTTCAAGAAATCTCACAAACTTATGGACTAGTTCGCATACTTAGCAAAGTATACAAAGAGGGAAATTAAAAAACCCTTTTTATAAATATTATACCAAACAAAAACAATAATTATGGACAAACCCATTGCCCTGGTGATAATCCAGATGAGCTCAATGATAATGACAAATCGCTACTTTCATTCACTGTGCCTGTGCCTGTGCCTTTGCCTGGTTTTGGTCCTGGGCCTCTGACCGTGTCCTGTGCCATTTAATGTGCATGTCACAAAGGAGCCGAGCCAATCTCGGCATAAACAGGTAACACCAGGAGAGACAATAAGCTGCAATGGCATCCCATGCATGGGTCACATAGGGGCACGGGGAAACACTAGATGGGACACACTGGTGGCATGGCACACAAAGAGTGGAACATTTTGTTAAGGCCACTTTGCGACATTTTAATTTAAATGCTAATCAGTTGCCAATAGACTAAAAAGAACGAACCCCAAACCCACCTCGAGTGCAGTTCCAGCTCCGTGTGGTTTCTATGTGTGTGTGGCGAGTGTGTTGTCACGGGTGTGTGCAAAAATTGCAAGTCATTTGGACGGGGCGAGAGGTGCAACAGCAACAGCAGCAGCAGCAACAGCAGCAACATCGCTGCAATTTGTATTTAAAATGTTGGCCATTGTGGATTAGCTGGGGAAGCAGAGGAGCAGGCCTACGGCGAAAGCACGACAGGGACAGGATCAGGAGCAGGACACTCGTAAAAAAATTCGACATACACTGCTATATGTAAAACAACCACGAATCATATTTTCTTTAGGGGCATCTCCCATTTCTTCTTTATCAGCTTGAACAGGCGAGTCGCTGTCCATTTGTCCCCCAATTGTTTAAAGTACTGAATAAAATTAATAAATATATGATAAAAAGACACTTCCTATAGTTTCCTAAACGTGAATTCAGAACAAGAAATACCAGAAAATATTGATATATCGAAACTGTATCGATTTTTCAACTAAAAGTTTTTAAATAAATCGAAACAAAAAAAAATTACTAAATAACAAAAAAGATGTATATTAACTTAGATTATAAACAACCTTTAAGTAAAGCTCCATTTCACCCTGTAACTAAAATTAGTTTTAAAACCCCAAATATATGCATGAGCAACAAATGTAACCCCCTTTTTTGCGAGTGCACAGACTCACCTGAAGCTGATTGTAGCTGTTGTTTGGGTGCCGTGCCGTCATTATCATTTGCATTTGCATTTTCGGCCGGCTCTCCCTCGGCTTGTTGAGTAAATATGGCCATTTTATGCAGCGTCCGTCCACGAGATGCCATTCAAGGAGGCGAAGCGAGACGCGGACCTCCACTGCGGGACCATAAAGGCCATCGCGAGTGCACAGGGAATTGAGTTGATAATAAAAGGATTTAAGGTTATTAAAAATTTGAATTTAAATTCAAATTATTCATACCGCTCGATATTGATGGAAGGTAATCGAATACATGCACTACTAAGCAGCCTGCTTTGTCACTTACTAACGATAATCGGTAATCGATTTTCCAACACTGCCAGCTGATTGCACTTGGTTCGTTTTTGTTTCGTTTCGTTTCGTTTACATTTTATTTATTTACGTTTATTTATTTGCGAGCCAGCGACCAGACCGTACCACATCCCACCGAATGGCCGACCGGAGGATGTGCTTGGATGGGGAGGAGTCCAAGGAGTGCCATCGCCTGCTGCAATTGACCAATTGCCGCCTGGTGCGCGGCCACCGGCTCATCCGCGACGATCTTTGGGTGCGTGATGGACGGATCGTAAATCCAGAGCCCATATTCTTCGATGAGCAGGCCACGGCCCATCGTCGTGTGGACTGCAACAATGCCATCATTGCCCCCGGCTACATTGACCTCCAGATTAATGGTGAGTGTGCTCAATTTCACTTTCCAATCCCATTTGCAATCCCTATTTCGACCCACATCTGGACCCATTTAATTCCACTTTCGCTTTGGTGCGTTCAATCAATCGCCAAGGTCGTTGCTGCTGCTGCTGCTGCTGACTCGGGTTCATGTTTACCCCTTGACAAGGGAACACACATATGGAGCACTCGTAATCGCGGTGAGGGTTAATCTTATCGCGGCTTTAACTGCCCAAGCGGCAGCTCAACCAGAATGGCAGCAGTAAAGTACAGTGAGGCCTAGCCACGGGTGACCACCACCAGACAGATAAGCGAACAAAGGAGACACCATTGCAGATAGAGATTCAACGGGGGAAAAATTCGCATAACCTGATTAGTTTAGGGACTTTGAAAGAGATTTTAAAATTCCTCAAATACTGCAGTTCCTAATTTAATTTGTATTTAATTTATTTACCTTGTTTTAAACAAGGAAGAAAAAATCTTACGAAGATTATATACCCTTGCAGTTTCCAATTGAATTATAGAATCGAATCGGACATTTATTATAAGTAAGCTTAAACATTCACATTCTTGAATCGATATTTATTAATATTTTTATATGGCAATTTGTTCCACAAATTATAGTTTATAAATCGCATAACTAAGCCAAAAACGCACTAATTTTAATTCGGAAAGCTTTCCTATGTTAGTTTTCATAAGGTTAACAATTCTGCATACTCACTTTAAAATTTATAAAAATTACAATTTTTATCATTTTTTTTTTTAAATTTACGATCTAACCCCTTGTAAAATTTTGAAAAAATTGGTAACAAATTTTTTTCTGCCTGAGATAGCTAGATCGACTCGGCTGTTGATGTTGATCAATAATTTATATGATTTATAGGGTCGGAAATGATTCCTTCAATGCGTAACAAGCTTTTGACTAAAATTGAGGCATTAAGTTTATTAATATAAAATATCTATTTAACTCTTGTTTATTTATAAATTTCTTATTAATTTTCTTTGACTGTACAGTTATTGAATTCAACACAAACTTAACAAACTAGTAGCCACTTTATTTTGTTTATTAACCACTCAGAATTTGAGGCCATCGTTGTTTAAAAATAGAAAAAACTTAATTAAACCAATTACCTTGAGGTCACTGGCCAAAATAGAGTGTAGACAAGACAATAAATAAATTGAAATTGAGGAAATTTGCAAAAAACCTTAACTTAAAAGATCATTTACATTATAAATCCTTACCATTCTTATCCCTTTTACAGGCGGCTATGGCGTGGACTTCTCCTACGATACCGAGACCATCGAGGAGGGCGTTGAAAAGGTGGCCTGCGGTCTGGTCAAGAGTGGCGTCACCTCATTCTGTCCCACGCTGGTGACCTCGCCCAGCCAGAGTTATCACACCATATTGCCTCGGATACCGAAAGCAGTGCCAAATGGCGCTGGTATATTGGGCATCCATGCCGAGGGACCGTTTATCAATCCACAGAAGAAGGGTGCTCATCCGGAGAGCTGCATACGGACAATAGATAAGGTGACACTCTAGTTTGGAGTTTTATATACTCCCTTATATGTAATATTAATCTATTTCTATCTCCCCAACAGTCACAGGGACTGAGCACTCTGGAGAGCACCTATGGCTCCCTAGATCGCATAAAGATTTTAACCCTAGCCCCCGAGAAGGTCACGGATCAGCAGGTTATAGGTCAGCTGGTGGATCGAGGCATCACTGTGTCCCTTGGCCACTCGATGGCCTCGCTCAGCGATGGAGAGCAGGCTGTGCAGCAGGGTGCCACTCTAATCACGCATTTGTTTAACGCCATGTTGCCATTCCATCATCGAGATCCCGGCTTGGTGGGGCTACTCGCCTCGGATGCTGTGCCGCAGGGCAGGACCGTGTACTTTGGCATTATCTCGGATGGCGTGCACACGCATCCGGCTGCTCTGAGGATTGCCTATCGAACACATCCTCAGGGTTTGATCCTAGTGACGGATGCCATCTCGGCTTTGGGCCTGGAGGAGGGTGTTCATCATATAGGACAGCTGCCGCTGGAGGTGAAGCAGGGAAAGGCATTTATAGCGGGCACGGAAACACTGTGCGGCAGCATTGCACCCATGGATGAGTGTGTGCGGATCTTTAAAAAGGCCACTGGTAAGTTAAATCATTTCTAATGCTCCTAGCATGGTTTCATTATCGATTTTGTTCTTTTCTTCCCAAAGATTGTTCTATTGTTTATGCCATTGAGGCGGCCACCTTGCATCCTGCCAAATGCCTGAAGATTGAGAAGCAAAAGGGTACTTTGGACTTTGGTTCAGATGCGGATTTTATTATATTGGACGACGAACTGCGGGTTATCTCCACCTGGATAGCAGGAGAATGTGTTCACCGGACTGCCGCCAAGTAGTACATTGAATGTATATACGGCAATGATTTTGTATATTGTTTATCTGACGCAGGATGTATGTATGTATGTATTTTTTGTATTTTGTATACCCAAGATTCTCCAATTAAATTGTTAAATTTATACATTCCAAAAGGGTTTTGTTTATCTTTGACTAGAATTAGGATTTTGGGTCCGAGGATCCTTTTATAAGGATCTTGGCTCATTAAACAAAGTAAGATTGCTTTAAATACTTCACAATTTAATTGTTTAAATGCTTAAAAGTGTTCAAATAACACCCAATGTACCCAAAAAGAAATAGGCATTCGTTTACATATGACATGGTTTAGGTTGTTCTTTATATATTTTAATCGGTAAATCATTTGGTGTGGACAACTACACTAAATCCATATACAATTACAAATAATAAGGTATTACACGACAAAAAAATGTAGAATAAAATTACAAGGAGACAGGTGGAGGAGGAGGAGGCGGCGACACATCGGCTTGATATCATGTGAGTACGGACATGGATGCACATAAAAACAATGCAGTTTATATATATATCGTACAATAAATCGATATATATGTATAATTATATATATTTAATTATATATATATATAGGCAATAATCAAAAAAAAACAATTTCGGAACAGCTCCAACTTTGACTGGGCTGGATGAGTGGCTGCAGAGTGTCCAGCGCCTACTACTAAATACTACTAATTCCCTGGCTCCCCCCCATTCTCCGCTGGCTGAGAGAGGATCGGAAAAAACAAGCGGTGGCTAGCTAGCTGGGATTATGTACTATATATACTATCCGATGAATAATATGGTATGTATATCTAGGCCGCAACACAATGCAAAACAAAACAAAACAAACAAACAAAAACAAAGACCTATGTGGATGGCGGTTGGGGAGTGCGTGCGCGAACGAACAAAGAGTACGGCTTGAGTACAGGAATCGTAGGACTATCTACTATATATGTATATATATCAAAAGTTACGTTACAAAAGTTGCTTGTGTCTGTGTCTGCGTTTTTCTTCGATCTTCGTTTTCGTTTTGGTTCCCGAATCCTAGGTAGCCTCTGGAATCGATCTTCGGTTCACGTTAGCTAACTCAAAATGCGATTCTGTTGCTCCTCCCGATCCCGATCCCGATCCGTGTGCGCTAACTAACGTATCCTATCCGAATGACCCACCCCAAGCTGGGGGCGGCGGCTGTTTGTAAAGTGGCGTCCAAATGTTCGTTATTACAATAACTGTCGTTAAACTTTAGGTAGGTTGTTTCTGTGTTTGTTCCATCTGCATAATTGCTGCTGCTGCTGCTTCTGCTATCCTCGTAGTAAGTAAGTAGTTCCCTCCGTGCGAGTGCTGATGTGTGCCTGGCTGTGGTGTATTGCTTCGTTTCCCTTTTTTGGGGCAGTTTCAGAAACCGATTCCCTTTGATCTAATCCCACACATTTCCATTTCCATTTTTCAATTCCAAATCCAAATCCGCTTCGCTCTGCCCCGCCATCGCCTTTCCTCCTCCGCACAGCTAAGCGCACGCCCGGGCCAAGCCACGCTCCGTTTGCGCCATTAACGACGTTTTACGCACAGCACTTGCTGTATCCCGGCGCCTTCTCATTGTTCCGGCGATCGATGATCACACGTTCCGGATTTTCGGCCGACTCGCGACCCGACGTCTTGTCCAGAATTGCCTCGGCGAGTTCGCAGAATGCCCGCTCGATGTTTATGTTCGATTTGGCGGATGTTTCCATAAACCGAATGCCATGTTCACGGGCGATCTACAATTTATGCCGAGAAATAAATAGAGAAAGAGCAAAACGGAAAGTGCTATAAATTGTGTAAACAAATTGATCAAAGTCACAACTAACTGCCATTGGAAGGCAATCATAGAGCGTACAAAGGTTCTAGTAATTAAAAAACCACTTGGTTCTTGGTTAAACTTTGCACTTGGCATGTAAAATGTATCTCAATTCGAATATTTACTATAAATAGAATGCTTGTACTCTCCAACAAGTAATTAAAAGATTGAAAGCTACCTTTTATAGGTTAAATATTGGGTTCTACTCTTACTGTCAATCTTCCTGGTAACTATCTAGACACTTGAATAAATGCACTAATTGACTTTAGATTTATAATTCTTCTCTATGAAATATTATTATTACTGCAATGTGTCGCATTGAGTTTATTAACGGTCAACGGCCTCGACAACTCGTTCTAAACAATTCGACCTTAAGACAGCAAACACCTCAGAAGTGTTTGTTATTGTCATGTGTTTGAAATATGAATTGAAATCTCTATGGTTTTTCTTAAAGAAAATACTTAAACATAGTTAAACTGATCTAAACTTTGTGCTTTACTGCAAGAAAAGCAAAACTAAGAATAGGTTGAAGACTATTTTCTGCTCTTGTGGCCGTAATTATGTGGTTATTATATTGATTTTGGTTTTAACATTGCTTTTTAAGGGAGAATTCAGTAAATACTTGACTGTTTAACTAAAAATGGAGTACAAAATTATTTAGATTGTAAAATGAGCATAAAATAGTTTAAGATATGTAGCTGAAGGCAGCCTTCACTCGTTTTGTAGTACTTCTATATGCCAAATTCCTAATACTTCAACTTGTTCTCTACCTATAAAACATGTTTCCTTAAACAATGTCTTAATTTACTTGCTTAATCACATGAATTCTACCTAATGCAGCATGATTCACCCAAGGTAACTTTTGGTGAGCGAAAAGCAAACATTTTGATAAGGTAACCAAGTCATGTTCCACCAACAGACACCAATAATAGACAGGCTGATCCCTGATCTGTGCTGTTCCTAGATCTACTGATGCTAATCCAAAGTGGCGCCGCCTAATCAGATGCTCACCGCTTCGCCGCGCTCCTTGTTCACCACCCGCTTGTCCGTCATGTCGCACTTGTTGCCCAATATCATCTTTTCCACATCCTCGTTGGCATGCTGCAAGTGAGTTACACAAAAATAGGTTAATTAAAGGTAAAGATCTGATCAAACAGAGATTGCATACGCACCTCGTCTATATTCCGCAGCCATTTGACTATATTCTCGAAGCTCTTTTCGTTCGTTATGTCATAGACGAGCATTATGCCCATCGCACCGCGGTAATAGGATGTGGTTATCGTGTGGAAACGCTCCTGGCCGGCGGTGTCCCATATTTGAAGCTTGATCTTCTTGCCCCGCAGCTCCACTGTTTTGATTTTGAAATCTATGCCTGCGAGATGTGAGATATACGAGATTTCCAAGAGTTTTATAATAACAAATAATAACAGAGGCACCTAGCAATGACGTCACAAATTCAAGGGTGTGTGTGTGTGTTTGTTACCGTTTACACTGCCCGAATTGGAGCAGTGTGAATCATCCGGAATTCGGAACTTGGAATCCGGATGAAAATGACAACTGTTTGCACGTAACGGTGTTCGTGCGTTATCTATGCATGTAAGTATGTATGTTTGTAGTTCTGCCGTAGCAGCAACAAAAATGACAGTCCAAAGGCGATCGACACACGCATACACCCAAACAGGGACATGGGCACAGTGCTCGAGTATGCGTGGGCGATCCATCGATAAGGCAGTGCCACGCCCTATTGCACACACACACACACGCACATATCCTTGCCCCGGGTCGTCACTGCCGCTGCCGCCTTTCGCGTCGGCGTCGGCATCGCTGCAGCAGCAGCTGACACAACTCCGACGAACGGCACATGTATGGGTGTGAAGGAATATGCGTGAAGAGGTCCCACTTACCTATGGTCGAGATGAACGTGGATGTGAAGGCGTCATCGGAGAAGCGGAACAATATGCAGGTCTTGCCTACGCCCGAGTCACCGATCAGCAACAGTTTAAAGAGCAAATCGTAGGTTTTCTTTGCCATTTCCGAAACGCTCGCAGAACAAAGCACTAACACACGCGCAGCACTCGACGCACGCACTCACGCACAGGCACACACACACACACACACTGGCACACGGCACGCAGGTGACTCTGCAAGCGATTATATTGGCCAATGCACTTGTCGCGTCTCAATTGCTCTCGCTTTTCCCGTTCACTTCGGCTCGCTGGATAACTGTCCTAAACTCTAGCAGCGGCTCTATTCCACAATATTTTTAAATGCGCCGAAAACTTTATATTTTTGCTTGCAATTGTTGCTATTCGTGCTGGAAACTAGAGATGGACAAAGATTGATGGCAACATCGATTCATTATTGTTCTTCCATCTCTAGCAAACATCGAAAGTGGTTGCGACTATCGATTACTGATTTTAGAGTCAGCACTGAGAGAGAGCGAGAGGAAATCTAAATTTACGAGTAGTCGTGAGCACTGCTTTCAGAAAATATCAAAATGAATGGCGTTGCCAAACAGACTTTAGCGCTGTTACAAATATTGATACTACACTAGCAAGCAATGAAATATATCGATATACAGCCCCGCATTTGACGCGCAAAAACATCGATATATGGAGACATCGATGTTTTTCATCCAAAAAGGTTTCAGTATTTTTTAAATTTATGAATTTTTACACTTATACTAGTATGATACTGCCGCAATAATAAGAGATTGCATTGACAATGCATTAGCCGCAAAAATCGATTGATCTACATAAAATATACTAGATACCGATAGCAATATACTGCTCTAATGAAGTAAAACATCGATGGTGAAAGAATCGATGGTCGACAGTATCGATAGTGACCCGTTGTTGTGCCAGCACTACTCCACCATTTTTTCTTTGTCGATTAAATTTTGATTTTGTTTGAACTCTGTGATCAAAGACCGACTAATTACGAACTGAAAATGGTAAATTTAAATTAAAAAAGTGCACTTTTCCGGTGGTTTACGGTGTGGGTGAGCAGCGTAGAGTGAATTCGGCGGCTTTTCATTGATAATTACAGGCATTTCGCCGTTTTCATTTGCCGGGTGTGTGCTGCGGCCATTTGCTGCCGCCCAGATCTCGCTTCGCTTCCCGGAGTCTCAAAAAGCAGCACGCCTTGCACGTGATTCCAGAAGGTTCTCTTTCTGGCCACGGGATCTCAGGTTGCCCCTTTGTTGCAAGCACCCTTAGGGAAGAGATCGAGGCAATATATCAAAAAGAACATTCCAGATGTGCAATCCACGCTGTTTTAGTGGCCATTGGATGAATCACTCGTCGCTGCCGCCGCCGCCGCTCTCTTGCTGCGATTTTTGGGGGTTAGGTAGAGGCGATATGAGTGCACGCAAAAAAAAAGAAATACTACTACTACTATATCTATATAGATGCAGGCAGATGGCTTCTATATCTTCTAGACAAAGAAAAGTGTCACTTAAATCTTTTAATTAACAAAAAGTGATTAGCTTTTTTTAACATGAATTGTTAGTGTTTTTTTGTACATCTAAAAAAAGATTTTTTTAAATATTCCAACATTAGTCCGATTAATAATACAAATTCCCAAATCAATTTGCTTGCAGGAGATGTCCTTGAATCCCGTCCGCGTTCTCAAGAATGAGGCGCAGGAGGAGAAGGCTGAAATGGCCCGCTTGTCCTCGTTCATTGGCGCTATTGCCATCGGCGATCTGGTGAAGAGCACTCTGGGTCCCAAGGGCATGGACAAGATCCTGGTTGCCAACGGACGCAATGCTGGCCAGGTGGAGGTGACCAATGATGGCGCCACCATTCTGCGTGCCGTGGGCGTTGACAATCCGGCTGCCAAGATTCTGGTGGATATGTCGCGTGTCCAGGACGAAGAGGTGGGCGATGGCACCACTTCAGTCACCGTTTTGGCCTCTGAGCTGCTACGCGAAGCCGAGAAATTGGTTGAGCAGAAGCTGCATCCACAGATCATCGTGGCTGGCTGGCGTCAGGCCACTCAGGTGGCCCTGGAGGCGCTCACTGCTGCCGCTCAGGACAACTCGGCCAGCAACGAGAAGTTCAAGAACGATCTACTGAACATTGCCCGCACCACGCTCTCCTCAAAGATCCTGCATCAGCACAAGGACTTCTTTGCCAACCTGGCAGTGGATGCTGTGCTGCGTCTGAAGGGATCGGGTGAACTGAAGTCCATACAGATCATTAAGAAGTCGGGCGGCACTCTGGGAGACTCCTTCCTCGACGAGGGCTTCCTGCTGGACAAGAAGCCCGGCGTGCACCAGCCACAGCGTGTAAGTTCTACTCTGATACTACTCTAATTTGTGCCCAAACTTCTCTCCGTCACCTACGCTTGGCTGTACATCAACGCGTCAAAATGACTGTGAGCTATGTTGAATTTGACTTCATATCACAGCCATTTTGACGAGTTTGATGCACAGGCTCATCATCATTAGAGGGTCAAGGATAAAGATGTTAAAGTTCTGAGTTTATAAGTTAAATATTTAGTATGATTACCTTAATTGTGTATTGCTCTATCTTCGTGCAGATTGAAAAGGCCAAAATCCTGATTGCCAATACTCCCATGGACACAGATAAGATCAAGGTCTTTGGTAGCAGCATCAAGGTTGACTCGCTGGCCAAGATTGCCGATTTGGAGATGGCCGAGAAGGAGAAGATGAAGGAAAAGGTGGCCAAGATCCTGAAGCATGATTGCAATGTGTTCATCAACCGCCAGTTGATCTACAACTATCCGGAGCAGCTGTTTGCCGATGCCAAGGTCATGTCCATCGAGCATGCCGATTTCGATGGCATCGAGCGTCTGGCCTACTGCACCGGCGGTGAGATTGTCTCCACCTTCGAGAACCCCTCGATGGTCAAGCTGGGCGAGTGTGATGTCATCGAGCAGGTGATGATTGGCGAGGATACGCTGCTGCGCTTCAGCGGCGTCAAGCTGGGCGAGGCCTGCACCATTGTGATTCGCGGCGCCACCCAACAGATTCTGGACGAGGCTGATCGCTCGCTGCATGACGCCCTCTGCGTGCTGGCGGCCACCGTTAAGGAGTCTCGCATCATTTACGGCGGCGGCTGCTCGGAGGCCCTGATGGCCACCGCAGTGCTGAAGAAGGCGGCCGAGACGCCTGGCAAGGAGGCTATTGCCATCGAGGCCTTTGCACGTGAGTTTTAATTTAAAGTTTCCCAAGTTGAATAGAGGTTGTAATGTTGTTTTCCATAACCAGGTGCATTGCTATCTCTGCCCACGGCCATTGCCGACAATGCCGGCTACGATTCCGCCCAGCTGATCTCTGAGCTGCGCGCCGGCCACGCCCAGGGCAAGCATCAACTGGGTCTGGACATGGAGCTGGGAAAGGTGGCCGATGTCCGTGAACTGGGCATCACCGAGTCGTTTGCCGTCAAGCGTCAGGTGCTGATGTCCGCCTCTGAGGCTGCCGAAATGATCCTGCGCGTGGACAATATTATTAAGTGCGCTCCACGCCGACGCGTGCCCGACAGGGGCTATTGCTAAGCGGCTTAAGTATTCTTGTTCTAGGATCCTATTTCCTTTTTTTTTTTAAATTACAAACTCTCGTTTAACATCATCGCCTAATCTTACACGACGTTCTGTTTTACACACTATTAACACACACCCTCAACCACAACACACATTAGCATTTATATTACACAACAACAACCAGCATCGCATAGGCTTTCTCGCAAAACTTGTCTCTTTCGTGTAAAATTCCCTGTATCTCTATGATTGTTAAACAAAACTGATGATGTTGTTGCGCAAGCTAAGCTTTTTTTTGTACCCGCAGGGACACAGATTCGATGGGGGGAAAGAGCGATCAAAGAAAACATTTCAAAAATGTCTAAAACACACACCTCAACAAAAGCAAGCAACTTGTAAATGAATACAATCTTTGTAAACATTTTGATATGCGATCATCCAAGTGAATCAAAGACCATTAAAAAAAAGGGGCAAACAAAACAAACAACTACAACAAAAAAAAAATAAAATAAAAATAAATCGTAATATATTTATGCTTAACAAAACTACAACAAATTTGTTCTTATTTTGGGGCGGTGAATCTCAAGTTAAGTTGATCTTTTAAGATTGTCTAAAATGTTCAACTAAGAATACCATAAAATAGCAAAAATTGGAGTTTAAATTAATCAAATAATGAATGAAAACTGAAATATAGTACTATATATCTATAATTTTTCTTGATATTTGGTTATTTTAACTCTTCTTGCAACCCAGTAAAATCACTCGACAAACATTGCAAACACATTTTATTGTAAATATTGCTGCGCGTTCGTTCAACTTCACAGTCCAAACGTTATAATATAAAATAGTAGCTTTTATAATTAATATATAAAAGTTAAAACAATCAAAAGTGTTGTCGTCGCTGCGCGCGTTGACTTACTAATTCGGTTAGGGTTCGAGGTTCGAATGGATAATACGTAAAAAAAAAAACAAAACAACACACTAACCAAATGTGATTTGGAACATAATATATATATATATATATATATATATATATATATATACAGGCGGCGGAGGGGGGTCAGAGAGAATGAGAGGGAGAGAGAGAATAACAATAAAGCGCACGGTAACGAAAGAGAGAGAGTAACGGCGAGCGATCGAGAACGGACGTGTTTCCAAAGTTGCAAAAGAGATTGGCATTGTTTAAGTGGATACAGCTCATCCGCTTTAGGAAATGGCACACTCCATCTCACCGTGCTTGGGCACACAGTCTAGGACGAGGGCCACTGCTCGGGACATGTATGTCATGGTTCCATAGCTGCCGCTGGGAGCACTGCAAGAAATGTTACATACATAAATTAAATGTAATAACTATATTTCAGAGCTTTCTTACCTATCGTACAAGTGCTGACAGATGTAAGCGGCTCCGCCGCAAAGTAGCATTCCAGAGGCGGCCTGCTGCTGCTCCTTGCCGTCCTTAATCTTGGCACAACATAGGGTGGCATCGCCCTGCACCTTTCGCTGATCCTCGAGGAACAATTGATTGGCCTTGTGCACTAGATGCTCCACATAGATAATTCCACCGAGTGTGGGCACCATATTATGCTCGGTAACGAGGGTCAACACCATAAGGGCCTCGACCACCAATTGCCTGTACTCGGGCTGGGGTATTTGGTTGAGTGCTGTCTCCACTTCCAGGGCAAACTTCAGTTCACCCGGTGTCATCTCCTGGGTGAGACTCTGCTGCAGGACACGTCCCTCGATGGCCAGACCTTGGCATTTCTCCAAAACCGTCCAGACGCGGGAGTAGAAATCACGGGGCACACGATTCAGGGCACCATCCAGGCGACGGCGACGCAGCCACTGTCCCTGCCTGTCGTCAATGGTGGCTATAAGGGCATCCTCACCCTCCGGGTCACCCAAACCGATTTGACTCTTCTTGCTGACGCGGCTGCTCTTGCAGCTAACAATGGATAGATTGCCACGAGCCACTAGAATATATAGAAATGAGAGATTACTCTTTAACTAAGGGATATTCACATACCGCTGCTGACAGCAAACTCCTTTCCGCTGAGTATGTGGTACAGGAGATTCTTCATCTCGAATGGCGAGAGGTTAAGTAAATGCTCCGACGCCGCCTCGCCATCGCAATTGAGTGTGCGCGACAGCTCCTTGGCCATTACCTGAATGATAAGGCCCACGCGCAGGCGCAGCATTTCGTGGAACAGCTGCGGCTCCGTGCGAATAAACATGGCCAGATAGACCATTAGCTCCTGTGTCAGCATAGCTGTACTCTCATCGTCGCCATAGGCCTGCACAGAAAGGGATTATCAATTAATATTTAATATTACCTTTTTATATCATTACTTACATCATGGATTAGCTGTCGCAGCTCAACTTCCGGCAGCGGTGCCGTAATGGTGTGCTCATTATTGGGCGGCATGCCGACGGTCACCTGCTTCTGACGCACCAATAGATCCGTTACCGCCTTGGCCAGATCCTCCACACGCTTGCCCAGCATACCGGCCGTGTGCCGGACCAATCCCCAGAGCTTCTGCTGGCAGGCCTTCTCGTACAGTCCCTTGAGCAGGTCCCGCACAGTGACCACACGTCCCTCCTCCAGCATGCCTTCGGATTGGGAAGAATCGTTGTTATTTTCAATTGGTGGATTGTGGCTGTTGATGTTGCTGCTGTTGTGGTGGTTGCTGCCGCTGTTGCTGCTGCTGCTGCCGCTGGTGTGGCTAGTGTTGGCATTATCCGGTTCGGAGCTAAGCGCAGCTGGAATTGTAGCAGCATCGATGATCACCGTGGGCAGAGTAATCGCCGGCTTGTGCTTGGCCTGCTGATCATCAGCACCAGGAGCACAAGAAGCACCTGCACCTGAACCACTAGCAGCACCACCACCACCACCAGCCGCCAGTTCCAGCACCACTTCATCCATAAACGCTTGGTCGAGCTCTTATTTTTGTTTGGTTTTTATTGCGGGTTAGTTGGGTTAGGATTTGGTTTTTTTTTTTTAATTTTTGGAAGAATCGGAGTTTGCGTTGTATTTTTTTTTTAATTTTATTTAGGGTTAATGTTTTAATGAAGAGCAGGCGCACAGGACATGCCATACAGGATGTGTTTATGTGTGTTTTGTGGTTGTGTGTGTGTGTTTTGCATGTAAGATTAGGAGCGGAAAAAGTAAAATAAAATGTTTAAGGATTAAATCAAGCTAGTGCCAAACAAAAGATATTTTTATTAATAGAAATATGCAGTTAATAATGCTAATTTAAAGCAATAATATCTGTATTTTATTTATGAATGTAGAAACGCTTCTATATATTTTCAAATTTAAATAAACAAGTAATGTGAAATCATAATAAAGCTTAAAGCAAAAGCAAGGATGCAGAATGTCAGAAAGGGTCACAGGTCAATCACAAATGAATCAGTAATGTATACATCAATAACAATAGGAAATGATAACCATAGATGGCAGGAAATTGTTATGGGCGACAATAAGGAGTACTCCAATGGTTGGCCAATCAATATAGGAAAAAGTTGGAGAGATCACAGGAGAAGAGGAGGGTTAAGGAAAATGGGGGAGAGGTTGGATAACGGGGGAAAAAGGATTCAGGAAAGTTCCGCAGGAGCTCCAAACAACAACAGTTATCGACATAGGGACACAGGATCGACGACACACTTACCGGCAGCTGCATTGTTAGCATTGGCGCTATCATCGGACTTATTCTTGAATCCCAGTCCAGCTGACAATTTGGAGCACGGAACACACACGATGTACGGAACCAGGACGGACGACAAGAAAACATTGTGGGGGGGCAACAACAACGGAATGTAAGAACGAGAGATGATGTAAAATAGATGGTTGAATAATGGTGGATTCTGGTTTTGTTAAAGACATTGACTGGTCATTAAGACATTCTTTCATTTGCTTATTATTTGAAACTCTTCTAAACTGTTATACACAGATTTCAATTCTAGATTTCCCTTTAATTTTGGTTATCTTGGTATTAAACTAAAAAACCCTTGATATAACAATTAACTATAGCACCTGGTTCTTAAATTTACTTAAAAAAATATACGAATTCAAGGCTAAAAAAGAACTCTACATTTAACTGTTATACATAGATTGATACATTTTAAAACTTATTGAAATGCAATACCTGGTTAAGTGTTAAACCCATGTCTCATTTTAAAAATTAGAAAATCAAGGATAATAAATAAAAACCATACATAATTTAACCCTAAGTATAATACCATTAAAATAAACCTATGGAAAATACAGCACTTAACTGTTATACTATTATTTTAATCATTCTCTTAACCATTCAAATTAACCAATTAATATTTCAACTCTTGTCTAGTGTTAACCCAATGTGACAGAATGTATATAAACCCAAATGGTATAAATAATCCCCGGTTAATAGTTAACCCCAATGTATAATAGTTGTGTGGAGCGTGTTTCTGCGTGTATGCATGTGCGTATGTTTTTGTTTATAAAGTGTAGCTGTGTGTGTGCGTGTTCAGGTGTGTGCTTTTTTTCCACCCGTATATTTAGTTCCTCCCAAAAGTGCTATCAAAACCAAACTTTGCAAAACAAAACGCCTAACTAGGAAAGCATTTTAAGCGCTGCAAGCCTTCCTTATACCTACACATAAACCTTGGGAAATAGTTTCGATTCTTTGGGTTAATCTTAAAACATATTTCTCACCCGTATTAAAGTCCAGACCCTGGGTATCCACCAGGTACTGCAGGATGTCGCCCTGCTCCTCGAGATTCTCCGTTTCGCGTAGCATTGCAATCAGCTCCTCGACCTCTGTGTCCGCAAAGTTTGTGTCGGCACGATGGCGTTGGATGAGAATTTTTGGCACTGTTACTAATCAAGGATCGCATTGCCAAATACGAGTACATGACAATAATAATAATGGAAATCAAATGGAAAAGAAAATAAGAGCATAAAATTAAAATTAACAAAAGTTAACAACAAACAAAAGAGGAATTTCAAAACAAAATCATACAAGTTTCTGATTTGCTTACAAGGTTATGACAAATTCTTCTCTTCTAGTCCAGGTAATAATATATATAAATAATTATAAATATAACAATACAAAATTAAATTTTAAAAATTACTTGTTGAAATCAAAGCAAAAAGCAAATCAAAAACTTGTAAATTGATATTAAAACTGAAGTATAAATATTGTTCTATATATATAAAACTAACTCTCTTGCTGGCGAACAAACTCGCTACGCCTGTCGATCGCCGATCTTGTACTGTTATGCGGATCTACGGGATATATGTTCTCCCGGACGGATAGCTCGTGGCCCAGCTGCCTTGGCGAACTGGGTCCCTCCTCCGGTGTTGTGGCAAAGACACTGACATGGCTCTGCTTATTTGGCTGCAGCCACGGTGGTGGAACAATCGAGGACAGGCGGCGTTCGGTGAGTGGAGAGGGTCCCTCCATTCCCAGGTTATCAGCTGACAAATAAGATTAAGAAATTAATTACAATTCAATAAAGATAATGCACTTGATACTCACAATCCACATTGATGGAGCGCGTCTTCTTGATTGCTCCCTTGCAGGACATGCGTCGCCTTAGGGTCCTGGGACGCAGTTGTCCGCCCCGCAGATTCATGGTGCTGCGATTGCTAAACGACCTGAGCAGATGCTCATCCAGATAGGTCTGCACATCGGGATGCAGGCGATCCGGATAGCCATCCTCTGTGCTGCCCAAGAAGCTCAGGTCCGTGATGGCGGAGGTATTGAGGAAGTCCTTCAGGCTGCCCAGCATCACACGTGTGCCATTGATGTAGCCCGACTTGAGTTTCCTCATTGTCTGGATCATGGCCAGCGGTATCTTGTCCTGATCTGTGGCAGCATCCGAATAAATCTTGTTAGCTTATACAAACTCTTCTCAACTCAAGCTTCGATTAATGATGGGTACAAATGATTTGGGGATGATGCTGAGGATTGATAGGATTAGGAACAGCGTCTCTTAATATCTACGGTTTAGTTAGTCACAAATTATAATCAAGTAATAGAAATATATGCGATTTATGCATTTAATTACACAGCACACAGAGTAACCATCACCAACTCGGCAATTATTTAGTTTTGCTCTTAATTTTTTAGTTGCAAGCAAAGCTTAGGAAATTAATTAGCCACAGTGACAAGGATTAGCAAGTATTTCATTGATTTTAATCACAGCAATTAGCAACATAGAAGGTTTAAAATTAAGATCAACTCAGTGTTTAGTTACTGGTTTTCAAATACATATTATTAGCTCTTTCAGTACCTTTTAATTTTATACCTTTTTGGGAAATTTATACATAAAATTAAAGTAGAAGTAGAATATAAATATTTGGAATTTGGAATGTATAATTATTGTGGTGAGTTTTCACTTTAAAAATTTTAATTTTTTAAAAATGTAAAGCTATAAAAATTCAATTTTAAGTGACAGTTATCGTTGGAGATCCAAAACCAAACAGTTTGAGGCAACATTTTGAACTTTGTTATATCCTAAATGAGGAATTTTTAATATTATTATTCCAAAATGCATTGGCTATCGTTATTTGCTCCATTTGTGTGGTGGGGATCCAAGAGGATACATGTAATACTTGAGAAAGTTTCTTAATTAACACTTTAGTTTCTTTTAGAAAAACAGGATATATACCTTAGGTCATAAGATAGGTTTATATATATCTAAACTGAAGAAACAGGGGAAATAGAAGAGAGCGAAGGAGAGCAGGCGGTGGCCATTAATTAAGCAAACACAAGCGCAGGAAAAGGGATCACAGGCCACAGGATAATAGATTGCAATTGCATATCATACTGATTTCTTGGCTTCGATGTGTGTGTGAGTGTTGAGTAATTCGCATATATAAATATATATAGTAATTATATAGAGTGTGCCGTGGTCTCACAAAATAATAATCAGGAGTTGGCTTGGGTGTGCGGAGTGTGCGGGGAAAAAGTGGGATTTTAAGGATGCAGAAATTGAACTCAATTGTTCGCTTTGATTTGGGGGGTTTGGGGTTTTTTGGGGTAGTTACCTAGCATATAGTGGGTTGCCATTAGTGTGATTGTCGGCCTGCCCAACATGTGACGCCAATTGTTGGTCAAGAATGCTAAATTTGTGGTAAAATTGCTGGCAAGCAAATCGGGATCGCGTGTTGTATAATATTCTTCATAGTCGATATGCTGTGTGTAGTATGTGTTGTAGTAGTTTTGTTGTTGTTGTTGATTTTTGTTGTTGAATTTGTTGTTGAATTTGTTGTTTGTTTTCGTTTCGTGTTGGTTGCAATATATATATATATATATATGATTTGGATTTTTGAATAAAATAAAGAAGAGAAAGATTTTTGATTTTTCTTTGTTTCGATTTCAATTGTCTAAACATTATTTCACTGGCCAATTTGTTGGGAGTTGAAGGACTTTTAAATGAGGATTTCTAAGGCTATTAAAGGTCCAGAGCAGAGCGTTGAGAAATGCAGTATATATAGTAACTAAAACTACATTAAAATAAAATTATGAAGGGATTTTTATATGTATATAATAAAAAATAATGTAATATAAAGCAGAGTACAGTGTGTGTTAGAATATCTTTCTAGTTTATAGTGTAGAAAGTGTGTAAGTGGGTCCACAACCAAAAGGGAACTAAAATCTAAGGGAACTAAGGAGTTCTCGAGAAATTTAGAAAGTTTATTGCTCAATGTTCATGAGATCAAAGTTAAACGTCCGATTAGCATTAAGAAGAAAGTAGTAAAACTATTTGTTAAAAGGTTTTTTCTCAATAGGAAGTAGGGAGACAGAATAAATTACATTTCTTTTGACTTTTTACCTTCGATTAACATTACTAACAATCTAATATGGTTTCTCATAGTCTAGTTAATATTTATCGGAGCCAGAATTGTTTACATCAAAATTTTTAACCAAGTTTATTGCTCTCCACAACCTCTTTTATCTTTTAACCTTTAGTTAATATTAACTTTACATTGAGAATACCAAACCAAAGAGGTCAAGGGAAACCTATACCTAGTTATAAAAGTTAAATTCGAATATTATTATTATTATCATTGAACATTGAGCAATCAATTCAATAAATTGCCAAACGAGAGTTCTAAAAATTAAAGTGATTGGTGCAAATGTGTGCGTTTTTGTTTGTGTCTTGTGTGCGAGTGTCAATTAATTGATAATAAAAAAACATGACCAATACCAAAAAAAAAAAGCAAACCCTTGCAAATTAATCAAATCAAAAATCAACACAGAAAGAAGAACCCGCACAGACAATAAAATAAAAGGCGGTAAATTAACAATTTAAATACACAAAGAAAAAAAAACAGAGGCTTATGGAGTGAAGAGTAGGGGACTTTAGCTGGGTCTCTTTCTCTCTAACTCTCCCTCTCGGTGGACCGACCTAGATGGATGCGCTTCAGCACGAGGGTGACCAGTGGACGACCCAGTAGATCCCAAGCGGACTTGAGGAAATTGATCTCGCCCTTGAGGATGTCGATCATGAGTTCGTTATCGGAGGCAATATAGAAGCGCGACAGGTCGGCAAACTGATAAACGGCGTGATATAAACGTAATATAAATCATAAGTCAATTCAATAAAAGTTTCTGGGGATGCAAACCGATGAAGTTGTTAAAGTTTTCAATTTAAAAACACTGAATTCTAGAAATTGATCTTTTAAATATCGAAAAAATCATCAAAAACCTATACCGATTGATGTTTTTTGTCATCTTTACTACATTTGTTAAGCCAATATTGTGCAAAATGAATTTATTTCAATTATTGTTAGTATATTGATTAATTCCAAAGCTTTTTCTTTAATTTCAGTTCAAATTTAGCTTTCCATTTCGCCAGTTTGCATTCCAGTCGATAAAATTCGATAGAAAAGTGTAAAAACAGAACTAGGAAAAGTCCAGGGATTATTTTTAGGGGGATTTTTAAGGGATTATAGGTGGCCAGGATTCGGAAGACGGAATGCAATCACTCACCTGAGGCGTAAACGCAAATATGCGATCCTTTAGAGAGTACAGCTTACTGGTACTAAGAATGCCCACGTCGCGCGATTTCCTGCCACTTAATCCCAGCTTCCGGTTGCGCCCAAGGTACGTGTACAAATGGCTTAGAACGCGGGCTGGCTGCACCTCAATGGGTGCCACCTCGGCTATTGTCTGGACATGCAGATCGTGCTCGGCCAGCTTGTCCCGAATCTCATTATCCTCGGCTATGATCACCACCTGGACGACAACGTCGGGTTTCTTTTGCGCACCCAGACGCCGATTGAGCGGATCCAACTCGCCAACGGCTAGGAAACCCTGTATATTTTTGAAATTATAGATAATTAACAAAATTCCAATAGAAATTAATACTCACCTCTTGCAGCAGCCGGCCGAGAATGAAGAGTGACTGTCCCCAAAGGAATGGACACCGGCCAACCACTTCACGGGCCTGTGAGCCCGGCTTCTGGTACTCGAATCCAACCAGATCTTGCGGCACAGCATAGCTTTCGGGTACGAGCAGTATGCCATCCTCCGAGCGCACCATTATCTTCTCCAGACGATCGGCATACTCCTGCACCGAGCGCTTGTCACTCTGGAAGGCATGGAACAGAATCAGGTAGCAGTAGAACAGCGGCCATTCGCATTCAATGTTCTCGAACATGCGCAGCTCCCAGCGTTCGTAGTAGAGCCGCGATGGATCCTCCTTTGGGGTGCGGTATCCGTCGCGTAGGAACCTCTTGCAGCCATATTTGCCCTGCAATCGGGACAGGATGGCATCCTTCGTGTTGTGTATAAGCTGGGCATCGTCCACGGCAAACGCTGGGAAGCCAATGACGCAGAGCAAGCCAGAATCCAATTCCTTGCTGTTGGATTCACGCGGTAGCATTGACTGAAGCACCGCCTGGCATTTGTGCGCCTCGTCGGCCAGGACATGAATGACACTGGCCGGGCCGCCGCGAGCTCCGAACAGATCCAGCTCGTTCATGGCCTCCAGAGCAGCCTTGGCCATACCAATGGAGCTGGCATTCAGCTCCGGTTCACCTGGAAAATACAAATTAAATTATTTTTCTATTTTTTTAGTTGTTTTCAAGGAATACGCACCATGGTTGGTCTTGTCGCCACGCTCCCAGATACCATAATCCGGAATGGAGTACGCCGACTCAATGTAAAACACTAGATTCTGGATGAAGGATACCTCATCCAAGGAGAAGACAATCTGTAACCCAGAGGCCGTCATCTGGGCCAGGATAAGTAGATACAGCGACACAGCATCGATCTGCAGATGGCCCCACTCATTGTCCCCCACAACGGGCAGGCCGTTCTTGCTCGAATACTTGGCATGGAGGGAATCATAGGGACTTTGCGTCATCTTGAACTTCTCCACCTTGTCCTTTTGGTTCATCATGGCCATTAGAAGGCCACGCATCAGCTTCACACAGCTCTGTTCAAGCTCGTAACACTTTGCACGATCCTCGTCCTGATCGGCAATCTTCTTGTAGGCCATCGAGAGACCCCAGACGGCCAGGATGCAATAGACATTGTCACGAATCCAGGCGTGCGAGTTTACATTGGAGGCGGGAAAGAGGCCGGTGACGGGCTCCTGGTGGGCCAAAATCAACCGGTGAACGATACGCTGATAGTAGTCCAGGCGGACGCCCGAATTGCTCCGTGAACGCATGACGGCTGTGGAAGTGGCTCCTTTCCCCGTCAGTTTGTCTGCAAAATGTACAAGGCTGCCATTAGAAACAATAGGTCGGCAAGGGTATTCAAAAGCTTCTAGAGCTTGTTGTGCCTCTTGTTTACTCCAAACGGCGCAGCGCGGCGGCACGCTCACTTACATAATGTCGGATCGGATCGTTTGTTGTGGTGTCTCTTCGGTGGTGCAGGGGTAGATGGAGGAGGAGGTGGTGGCTTCGGCTTTGGCGTTGCCCCCCAATATCCCCAATCGCACTGCTCGTCGGATCACCTATTCACCACACGCTAGAAGTGTCCCTAGAATCCGCTGCAGCCGCTCATTCTCCAAGGGCCTTGTCGTTGGAGTGGCGCGCACAGCTGCACCGTGCGGAACTCTGTGGCTTTTTCGGGGTCACTTACTTGGCGGATAAATTGTAATTATAATTAAAACTAAAGCAAAATGTCAACTCAATGTCACACACAGTGTGACCAACGGATGTGCGGGACCAAAACGATGAATTTCCCTGACTGGCGGCAACACTTCAGAAAATATCGGGAAAAACGAATAAATAGCTTAATATCTCTATAAATATAAGCCAAATCTTATAAATATGGCTGAAATTTTTTTAAAATTTATTAATCAAATAGTGTTTTAATTTTAAACTTTTAATTTTGGCTTTGGCTTATACGCCCTTATCGATATCTATCGATATTTTTATATGATAACGCAAAGTTTGAAAGTTCTCATCTCTAAGGCTGTGTCAAAGTTTAGCTTGTCGAGTTATGAACTTTAAATGTTTCAGAGTTCAGTTAGCCTTCACAGGTTCAACGTCTCTCCTCATTTTTATTTTAGTTCATATTATTTTCAATTCTTTTTTTTATTTAAACAAGCATCTTGACATTATTTTGTACTCTGGGACTTAACGGAATGAATTTGAGGCATAAGTTAACTGACGCGAGTGTTCCCTCATTTTTTCATTCATTTCGAATTTTATTTTTAATCTCTGGATTTATTAACAATTATTTCGATATAATTTACTGATCTGTGATATTTTTTAATATGGGGCAGAATTTATGTATGGTATATAACTCTCGCACGTTTTCGTCCATTTTTTCTTTTATTCCGAAATCTCTTTCTTGATTTATTAACAATTATTCAATGTAATTTTGGCGTTTTAGGCTTAAACGGATCTTGTCTTGGGTAAAAGATATAAATAATTGTTTAAAATACATTCTCAATATATTTTATATTATTGCAATACAAGAAGTTATCAATCATTGAAAGCTTTATTAGCCGACATATTGTTTATTTATGCAGTTATTCATTAATAATTAATGCTGTAAATGCAACATCGGCTTAGATTAACTATCACTCGTCAGATCAAAGTGCACTGGAATTTCAGGTTTTACTAGAACAACGAAAGCTGAGAGAGCTTACAATTTGCACTTGGAAAATGTTCCCAGGGATTTTCTACTTCCGATAAGCTTATTTTATTTATTTGTTTAGATTCTGTCTCGAAGCTATGGGCCTGCGAGCTGGCGCCTTTATTTCCTGCTACTATCTCTGCTGTTTATTGTTAGTGGCATCAAGTAAGTGTTTTTTATGTCCTTAAGCGATATCCTAACATCAAAAAACGAGAGCTTTAACATGAATTAAGAGCAGGTTTTTTTACATTTAAAAAATCTGGAAAAAGTTCAGTAATTAAGCTATATCCTTTACCTCTCTTTATCCAGAGCCTCGGCTTCACTATGGGCGCTGTCATGGGGAGTCAACCAGAGGCCTGTGCCTGCCCAGCGACGAGTGCTTGGAGGAGCGTAGATATCACCACGCGGTGGACGAGTGCTTCCAGTTGGTTTGCTGCCTAATGAAGCCGACGGCCTATTCCCAACTGACGGAGGATTACTGCCGCATTGAGCCGGTGCCCCGTATTGCCAATGGTGTGGTTACCAACATTCGGGAGTTCCCCTGGATGGCCATGCTGCTGTACAGCAACGACGGCAAAAATTTTGAGCCCAAGTGCGGTGGTTCTCTGGTTGACAAAAAGTGGATTGTAACTGCAGCTCATTGTGTGTCCACGTCAGGCAATGGACAGTCGGCGCCGCCGCTGCTGCGAGTTCGTTTGGGTGAATGGGACTCCCGGGTAACGTCCGATCATACCCACGAGTATTCCATTGCACGAACCATAGTCCATGAGCAGTACTTGCCCAGCGAACATACCACGGGCAGCGATCTGTTCCAGTACTCCAACGACATTGCCCTGCTGGAGCTGCGCGAGAGTGTCAACTACACAGAGTATGTCCAGCCCGTGTGCCTGCCACATCTGCCGACTGGCATTGCCTCGCGAACTGATGCCTATGCGAACAATTACCTCACCATTTCCGGCTGGGGGCGCACTAGCGAGAGATCCCTGGAAGTTAGTCCCGTGAAGGTCAAGGCCCTTGTGAGTGGCTGGTCCATGATGGATTGCAAGAAGCACTATGCAGACGTGGGTCCTGGACAGATGTGCGCCGGCGGTAGTCGTCTCTCCGGGCAGGCGGCCAGTTGTCAGGGCGACTCTGGGGGTCCGGTCATCGATGACAACCAGCTGGTGGGCATTATTTCGCTGGGAAAGTACCGATGCGGATCCCTTACTGGACCTATGGTGTTCACCAGGGTGGATCATTATGTTACTTGGCTAGAGAAGACTATAAAATCGAATGCAAAATAAAAAGAAATGTAATATGTAATGTACCCCCGACAATAATAAGTTAAGTTTACGTTACGTCAAGATCCTGTGATTATTATTCAAATTGTGGCCAAGTTTTGTGTTTGGTTTTTGGAGTAGTTAAAAAATTTTGTTGATGAAGATGATGCGTGTGAATGATGATGATGATGATGATCTGGCAATGGTTTTCCTGCTCTTAAAGCTTTTATCTCTAGTCGCGCCTGCTGCGCTTGCTTCGATCCGAATGGTTGCTCCGCTCGTTGTTCTTCTCCTCGGCTCGCTTCGGCGCCTTCTTGGCCATGTTCAAGAACTGATCCAGACCGAAGGGATCCTCCTCCTTCTCGAACTCGACGGGGCCGCTCCTCTGGCTGGTGGCTGCCTCACGCGAAGCACCCGAGAATTGCTTGTCCGGAACAAAGCGCTTTGTATTTACAATGGCATCCAAGTCGCCGCCATAATTATCGCTATCCGCCTGCTTGCTGGGCCTGTAGATGTGAGCACCGAGGGTGTTGGAATCGCGCCAGGGCTTGTCATACACATTGTACGCCTCATCGTCCCCGTAGCCCGAGTCCATGCCCTTGGTGGTGTTGAAGAGACGCTGATCGAAGAGGGTTTCCCCATTACCTTGACTCTTGGCCGGCAGGCCCAGCGCAATCTGTTCAGAGATATCACGCTCACGCTCCCGCTGCAGTTTGGTACGTTTTTCCGGTGCTGCTCGCTGCAGATTACGATCACGATGGCGTTCCCTCTGCCGCTCCGCTCTCAAATCGTTGCGTTCACGTGCCTCGGCTCCACCGCCAGCTGCTCCAGAGCCCGAGGGTTCCGCTGCTTCGGGATTGCGTAGACCAGCTCGCTCTTCACGAGCCCGCTGTGCCATCATGCGCAGCATCTCCTCCTTCTTTTCCTTCTCCTTCTGGGCCAGCTTCTTCTCGAGCTGAGCACGGGCCTCCACGGCTTCGCGTGCCTTGCGATCGGCTATGTACAAAGCCTCGGCCATTTTCGCGAACTTCTCATTGATGTGGACCTGCTGAAGGCCACGTCCGTCGGCCGCCAGGCGCTTGTCCAGCGGAATGGTGTAACCTGTGGGTAAAGTTTAAAGAGCATTCAAGGCGGGGACAATTATTAAAGAGTATTCAATGGCATTTACCTTTGGCGTTCTTCCAGTTTGATATGCAAGGCGGGATCTTCCACTCCTTTTGCTCCTTAACCGTCACCTTGCGTGACGGTGAGTGGAGGACAGGCGCTGGCGGTGACGGCGGACCGCGAGGTATCTTCTTGTTTATACGGAACTTGGGCGGCTCCATGGGATCCTGCTGCGCCTCCACCATCCGTATAACACGCTGCTTGGCCCCCGAATTAAAGGCATCGCCTTGCTGCGACGGCGTATACCGAATATATTGGGCTGGTGCCGCCTTCTGGGCATGGCGCACCGGCAGTGCAGAGGTAATCTTCTGGTTAGTCAGCTTTTCCAAGGCCAGACGTGTCTCCTCGGTGGTTTCCGCCACCGTTTCCTCATCCGGTCGCATTAGCTCTTCGGCATCTTCGGCCAGAACTTCAGCTGGCAGCAATTGCGAAATGGACGAGTACACAATCTTATCCTTGCCATGTCCCTGACGCGCAATAGCATCGTACTTGATTTTGCCCTTGTCGTCCAGGCGAACGGCCAGCGCATCCGATTTCTTGCCCACATTTCCCGGAGCTCCCAAGCCTGCAATAGAAGGGATAAGTGAAGCTCATAAGACCTTTGCCAGCTTGGCTTGCCAGAAGCACGAAAATATACGCTTGTCTTGGGAGAAAGTGCTCTGAAAAGCAGATGAAATGCGCAAGGTAGTTGCTTACCCAACGGATACTGCGCCACATGGATCTCGGGAAAGGCACCACCGTCACCGAAATCAGCCTCCGTACGGGGTATCCAATCCTTGCGTTGTCCGTACGGCGGCGCTGCAATTTTGGCGGAGACCAGGGCTCCGATTTTGGGTGCTCCACGGGCGGCCAAGCGACGCTCGTCCTCGCGGTCCCATACCGCATTTGTCGGTGTGGGCAGCAGGCTCGATAGCGACATCTCTGTTTTGTGGATTTATTGCCTCAATTTCCTTGCCAAACACGGGTTTTGGGATGATTTAAGAGCACAAAAAAAAATTACAATGGAAACTTGCAGAAAAAAAACACGCACACTAGAGCTGGGACAAGACCGATATTTTTCGATTGACGATATCGATTAATATTTTTCCACAACGCAATGCCAGCATAGGGCTGCCAACTCAGTTTTCTAAAGCCAACATATTAAAATAAAATACCTTAAATATTATACCTTATTATATTAAATTAGGTATGCAAATTTATAGAATTACGAAATAATTTAAGTTTGGCTTGCTGTTTTCTTGTATTTCTTTTATTTATTTTAAAAATCTAGAAATGCATTCAGTATATATTGATATACCGATACCAAACTGTGTATTTTTCACGCTAGAAAATACCAGCTGGTAATACTGTCAGCCAGCCGCCAGCAGTCCCATCCCTGGTAGCGAAAATCAACAAAATTAAAGTTTGTTATTTGGCGAATTTAACAATGTACACATTGCTGCACGGCTTTTACAAGTACATGACACAGAAGGATGACTACTGCGTTGTGATCCTGGGCCTGGACAATGCGGGCAAAACGGTAGTTGTCCACCACGAACTTAACAATTGTAAACACGTCCTCAAAACCGTTCCAATTCTTCGATCTCATCCCAACCCACCTGACTCTGTGGTGCCTACGTAGACCTACCTGGAGGCTGCCAAGACCAAGTTTACGCGGAACTACAAGGGCCTGAATCCCAGCAAGATCACCACAACAGTCGGCCTCAACATCGGCACCATCGATGTCCAGGGCGTGCGTCTAAATTTCTGGGATTTGGGCGGCCAACAAGAACTGCAGTCGCTGTGGGACAAGTATTATCAAGAATCGCATGGCGTCATCTATGTGATAGACTCCAATGACCGCGAACGTATGGAGGAGTCCAAGATTATCTTTGGTAAGATGGGAGATCATTATTTCAGCTTGTAAAGGCTATCTCTTAATTGTATTTCAATAAGAATTTAAGCCGCATATTAATCCCATGTTGCAACTATACATTTCCAGACAAAATGATCAAAAACGAACTACTCTCCGGTGTGCCTTTACTCATTTTGGCCAACAAACAGGACTTGCCGGATGTGATGGGAGTGCGCGAGATCAAACCAGTGTTCCAGCAGGCGGGCGCCCTGATCGGCCGTCGCGATTGCCTCACCATTCCAGTGTCCGCTCTCCACTGCGAGGGCGTCGACGAGGGCATCAAGTGGCTAGTAGAGGCTATTAAGCGGCATGCTGTGGTAAGGCCGCCGCGAGAAAATGATTAATCCCGGCAGAAAATTCGGCGGGGATTGGGCTTTAACTAGACTTGTATTTTTGTACCTTTTAAGGCTTTAGGACTACGCTTATAATTGTGTAATTAGGCAGGGCGAGATTTGTGAGATACTAATAATTATATGCTGTTATAAATGCGGCAGATTACCTTGCCCACATTATCTAGCCGAGAGGCCTTGTAACTGGGGATCTTAACTAGGTTTTTATGCTTAAGCTAAAACACACATGGGAGTTTAAGACTTTCTTCTTTTTCAGATATAGAAGGCACATTAACTGACTTTTGGAATCTTGAATCTTTGTGTAACTTGTCGTTTTGGCTTTACATTAAGTACCCTTTAAAATCAGAGAAGATCAAGGAAATACCTTCAGTTTCCAGCGACGAATGGCCAAAGCTTGTTTCGAACTGTGACTATAGTTGTGAAAGCGCGGTACCTCCGTTACGTTCCAGCTTTATCTAACAGCGCTACCTCGATGGCGGTTGTCAATGACGCTTCTGCTTATCCGTAATATATATAAAAAAAAAGAAAACCAGCCTGGATTGCTGCTGGCTTTCTGTAAGTGTGCGTGTGTTGGTTCTCACGGCAGCGGTACCATTATCAGGGAATAGATAACTGTGTTGTGTGTAGTTTTGCTGTGCCACCAAAAACAACAAGAACAGCAACACCCTGGTGGGTGAGTTGCACCGCCACGGAATCGTCAGTCTTCCGCAGGAGTTTCCACCGCTCAGAGGCCATAAGTGATCGGCTAGGAGAGTCGGAAAAGCAGAGCGCTCGTCGCTGCCCATTATTACCTGTTACCTGTTAGTGTACATTAGATAACGCATACTATATACATATATGGAGCAGCAACGCGTTTCGTGCTTATCGCAGCCATTTCAGTCGGTTTAGTTTTTGTTCCAAGTGCCGTCGTCTGTTTGCTGTGACAAATCCCCCCCTCAGAAATCATGTATCCATACTACGAGCAGGACTGGAGCGTTCTGCCGCCGGAGAACAATCGCAGGTGAGATGTGATGCGCATCCGGAAAGGATTGGGCTTTCCCAGATCCCTTTAATGACACATACATTGCATCTTTTTAAAAATGTGTTCAAAAAATGACGTTATCGCGGCGTAGTGTGACCGTGCTTCGGTGAGTTTTCCTGTTCGTATTTTTAAGAATTTCCGTGTTGTGGCAAAAAAGAAAATTGCTAAATCACTGCTGTATGGAAATCTTATTTAAAGTATTTCCTAACTTAAGTCCATTGTGGCTGAGAAACTACGGTGTTTGTTTATAACAATAAACAATAAATCAGCGATAAGCTGAATTCCCCAGTGAAGATATCAATTTAGGTTAACCATTACTTTAGCAACACTATTTATTATGACTTCCAATAATATTTATTAATTTCATTATCAAATTAATTCATTTAATATATAAAAATAAATAATCGATATTTTTCTTGACAAATTTTAAAAATACCAAAAATCTGCTTTTATGAATAGTTCAATTTTTCAAACACAATAAATCAATGAGCAAGCGAAGAACTATTCCAAAAGTTTTCCTATTGCCATATTTTTATGTTTATTAACAAATATAATTTAAGTTATAAAAGATTCGACAGTCGTTAAAAAAAACCAAATCACCAAAAAACTAAAGAAGTCATATAAATGTACAAAACAACATCCAATATCACAGTAGTGGGAGTTAAAAAGGATAATTATCAAAGGAAAATCAATTAAAAACTTAAATTTGCGTAGTTTTCCAATAAGAAAGCACTGCCAATTGGCACATTTTATAGTGTTCTTCCCACTGTAGTCCAAAAGCACTAGTGCGTTTTCCCGCAATGCGTTAGTAAATTTCTGCCGCTGCTTGTAAATATCGCCCTCTCGCTCGCACCCACTACTACTGTTGCGCTCATCATCAACATATTCTCCACGAACATTTTTTTTTTACTTGTTACGTTGATTTTGTGGCATTAAATCGGAAAAATAACGATAACCCTAGGCCGTGCGAACATGTGCTAAGCGTAATTACAGTGGTAGAATAACAAATAAACCAACATTCCAGCCGAAAAAAGCAAACGTGTGTGCGTGTGCGGTGTGTGTTGAAATTTTTTGTCGCGTTGTAAAAAATTTTGCACTGGTAGCGGACGCAGAAGCGGTCGCAAAGGGCAGGTGGTTATAATTTAGTGCTAATGAATAACTGAAAAGCATTGAGCCACAAAAGGGTTTGTGCCAGCATTTTCCGTGGCTTTTCCACTTGGCCAAAAAGGAGCATACGCTAGGCGTATGTGTGCTGCAGCTGTGTGTGTGTGTGTGCGTTTGTGTGTTGCCTTCCAGTGAATCGCATAAATTAGCAGGCGAAAAATCACATTGAAAACAAACGAGGAAAGAGCATTGAAAAACACATAAACCCTACGTGTTAACTATACTATATTATATGTGTGGTTGGTGACGTTTTTTTGTGATTTCTTTTTATTAGTGAACAATCGATATATTATCTATCGATGACGGCAGCTGTTTCGGGCTTTTAACAAAAAAAAAGGAAAAAACGGGAACTTTAAAGAACCACGAAACTTTGGTAAACAAGTTGTAATTGAAATAACTGTAGGAAGCCAATTGGATTTTCATTTGTTTCTGCATTTGTATTAACTGTGCGTGGGTGTGTGCGACTTTGGCTTTAATTATTTAATCAATTCGCATTGAGCTCGCAGATTTGTCAGCGCTTTGTTTTTTTTTTTTTTTTATTTAACCAGAGATCATGTGTATATTTGTATAGAGGCACACGCATGCACTCACGCACACACACACACAAGCGTACGCATTGAGATGTCAAGTTTTGTAGTTCAGTTTCATAACAACAGAGCGATCAGCGGCAATTGTTACTTGACTGCCGAGCTGTTTGCTCTTATTTATCTATTAAAACTTTTAATACATTTTCACATTGCATATTTTTTAGTAGCTGAGTAGTGAGCGAGAGCGAGAGTGCAACAAAATAGCGGCCGGCTGGTGTGTCCGTGTGCGTGGGAGTGAGGAAGTGTGTGCGAATGCTCGTGTGTGTGTGTGTGTGTGAAAGATCTGCAAAGAAAAACAACCGTTAGTACGTTTGGCGGTCTGCGCCGACCAGCAACAAAAAGAAAACACGAAAAGCGCGTAGGCCGGCAAAAAGAATACAAAAAAAAGAAAGAAAGAAAAAAAAGACAAAAGCAAAAGCAGCAAAAGTAAAGTTGCAGCGGAAGAGCGGAGCAGCAGGAAAGCTGATTCAACGTTTCTCGCCTCCACAATGAACTCCGAGCATGGGTAGGCCGACACCTCATCCTCCTCTCCCTTTACAGATCCCTTGATCCCTTGATCCCCCCTGAGGAGTTTCCATCTATTCATTAATTTTCCTTTTTCCGACAGATTCAATCCTGCCTTCAATATGGCCACCATACGGCAAGCTTTCACAGAGGCGGTGGAGAGAGGTAAGTAGAGAGGCAAAGAATACAGGCTAGGAGGATATCCTTAGGCAGGATGCAACTCTCATTGCTATTTTTCGAATATCTCCACTTAAGATCATATAAAAAGTTTAAATAGTAAAGAGATACTAGTACAAGAACTTGATCCTCATTTACCTGAAACCCACTCTAACATTGTTAATCCCACGTCTCCACAGTCAGAATGCCAACGCCCACACGCCTGCGCGATCTCATCCGACAGATACGCGCCGCGAGAACCGCTGCCGAGGAGCGGGCGGTGGTCAACAAAGAGTGCGCCTACATACGTAGCACGTTCCGCGAGGAGGACTCTGTCTGGCGGTGAGTCATATCCCCCAACACTTACACCATATATTTAATTACCATCTAATTGTTTATATACTCCTCCTGCACAGCTGTCGCAACATTGCCAAGCTGCTGTACATACACATGCTCGGTTATCCGGCTCACTTTGGCCAACTGGAGTGCCTTAAGCTGACGGCCAGCACGCGTTTCACAGATAAACGGATTGGCTATTTGGGCGCCATGCTGCTGTTGGACGAGCGGCAGGATGTCCACCTACTCATCACCAACTGTTTGAAGAAGTAAACGAAGAATATTAGATTTGAAATGAAAGGTTTAAAGTAACTAATTACCTGAACTTCTCATCTTGCAGTGATTTGAACAGCTCGACGCAGTTCGTTGTGGGCCTGGCTCTGTGCACTTTGGGTGCAATTGCCTCGCCGGAGATGGCCCGGGATTTGGCCAGCGAGGTGGAGCGTCTGATGAAGTCACCGAACACGTATATACGCAAGAAGGCGACACTGTGTGCCTTCCGTGTCATTCGTCGAGTGCCGGAGCTAATGGAGATCTTTCTGCCGGCCACGCGTTCCCTGCTCAGCGAGAAGAATCACGGTGAGTAGTTGAGTAATCTTTCATCCAACTCCAAACTGATGGAAATGATTCTCTTGTGACAGGCATTTTGATAACAGGCGTTACGCTGATTACGGAGATGTGCGAGAACAGCTCGGACACACTGATGCATTTCAAGAAGGTAAGTGTTGACGTGGCCATCGAATGGTCTCCATGGAACGAGTCCTTGCGCTGTGGCCAACTACTTCAGCTGCCACTGGCATCGCTCCAGCTCCTGCTCCTGCTGCATTTGGTTTTTTCTCTCTTCCCCCAATTTTTTTGTGGCTACAAACGCCCCCAAGCAGCGGGTTCAAGATTTTTGTGTAAAAATTATCTCGCGCCCATAATGTAGACGTAGCATATATATCCCGGCTATATATCCATTGCCCATTCTATATATACATATATATTATATTGCGTTTACTTTTGCCGATTTAGAAACACCCCACACACACCCTCCTCTGTTTTTTTCGTTTTAATCAAAACCTGTATACTTACGATTTTTTAACGCTTGTTTGTTTTTTTGATCGAATTCGAAAAACCGCGCAAAATGAACACAAAATGAAATTTGTTGTAATTTGCTTGCCAGGATAGCGGAAATCGAGAGGTATGATTGTTGTGCCATAAACTATAGAATAAAACAAACCTGTAACGCCTTCTACCTACCCTGCACACTATATATACCTATATATATATATATATATGAATTTGTAAAAATTATCATTTCGCATTGAGTTACTTTTGCCTATGTTGCTGCCTATGTATATGTCTCAATGCAGGGAAAAATATAAATTATATATTGAAGGATTTTAAGAGCCTTTTGGGTACCGCTTTCGCAATATAAATTACCCTAATGTTTATCTCCAAATTTTGTGAACCATAAAACATACATTTCGCACAGACATATACATAAAAATCAGCGGAAATTCATGTTTCGATCAAGAGTACTTTTTCTATAGCTAATTGCAATGATTTTTGGTAGGTTTAGAATCTCTTTTTACACGAACAACCACCTGTACATATTGTTTTTTTGGTATATGGCCCTGTCTCTTTGAGGCTTTGAGGCGGGCCTGTAGTTCCTCTATACGTTTCATTTGCACTTATCCAGTTCTTCAAGTTATTTCGAGTCTTTGTCTTTCACAAAAACACACACAAATCACACAACACATAATGCACACCTATTTTACGCTCTCAACACACACATATACCACACCCAATTTTCCGTATTTCCTCGCCTAAATTAATATTATTTTTATGGTAATGTATTTAATATATATTTGTTTTGTTTGCAATAATAACTTCCTATAGATTGTGCCGAACCTCGTGCGCATATTGAAGAACCTGATTCTGGGTGGCTACTCACCGGAGCATGATGTTAGCGGGGTGAGCGATCCTTTCCTGCAGGTGAAAATCCTGCGACTACTTCGTATACTTGGCCATAATGATCCGGATGCCTCGGAGGCAATGAATGATATCCTGGCTCAAGTGGCCACCAATACGGAGACGAGTAAGAATGTGGGCAATACGATCCTCTATGAGACAGTGCTCTCCATCATGGATATACGGTGAGATTATAGTGTTACCTTAGTTATTACAAATTACAAAATAACAAATACAATAAAGAAGACATGAAATTAATGAATATCCTTTCTCTCCCCAGCTCTGAGGGTGGCTTGCGCGTTCTGGCCGTGAATATTTTGGGGCGATTTCTGCTCAATTCGGACAAGAACATCCGGTATGTGGCACTGAACACGCTGCTCCGGACAGTGCATGCGGACACATCGGCGGTGCAGAGGCATCGCACCACCATATTGGAGTGCCTGAAGGATCCGGATGTCTCCATTCGACGCCGAGCTATGGAGCTGTCATTTGCATTGATTAATGCACAAAATATACGTACAATGACCAAGGAGCTCTTGCTGTTCCTCGAAAAGGCGGATGCCGAGTTTAAGGCGCAATGCAGCTCGGGCATGATCCTGGCCGCCGAGCGATACTCGCCAAACACACGCTGGCATTTGGATACGCAGCTAAGTGTGTTGATTGCCGCCGGTAACTATGTACGCGACGACGTCGTCTCCTCCACCATTCAGCTGGTGTCCAGCAGTCCCGTCCCGGAGCAGACGTATATCACGAATCGATTTTGGGAGTCGCTGCAGGTGAGCAATCACTGTGAGGATAAACAGCCGCTGCTGCAGGTTGCCGTCTGGGCCATAGGCGAGTACGGTGATCTCTTTATGTACGGCGCCAATGAGGATGGTGAGTAGCATTTATTCTATATAGTTTTTTACTGATTTATTTTGTAATGAAATATATATCTTGCAGAGTTTGAAAGGCCCACGGAGAGCGATCTGATCGCTGTGTATCATAAGTTTTTAACCTCTGCTCAAGTCTCGACCACAAGCAAGCAATATGCACTGGTCTCTTTAGCCAAGCTAAGCACGCGTCTGCAGCAGTGCGTGGAGTAAGTAAAAATATAATATATGACAAGGTTCTCTAATTTTCTGATTGCTTTTCACAGGGAAATCCAGGCACTGATCACATCCTTTGGCAGCCATTTGAATGTGGATCTGCAGCAGCGCGGCGTGGAGTTTACGCAGCTCTTTGGTCACTATAAGCACCTGCGACCGCCGCTTTTGGAGAAGATGCCGGCGATGCAGATAAGCAGGATTAGCTCGCAGAATGGCGAAAGCGGCGGCGGCTCCTTTGACGACAACAGTCCGGATGTTATCGAAAATGGCGTAGAGGGAGCAGGCAATGGCGGTGGCGGACACTCACTTATCGAAAGCAATATGAACACTCTGGGTGACAATACGGTGGGTACAGTCATTAGCTCTTAACTGTGAGTTAAGCTTAAACTAATCGCTTTCCATTGCTTTTAGAACATTTTGCTGGATCTGCTGGGCAGCACGGATCTGTCGGCGGGTGGCGGCGGTGACTTGGTTGCGGCCACGGATCTATCGAATGCCGTTCATAAAAAGAATTCGCGCAATGCCAACGATGGTTTGGCGTCGGCGGCTCCCGTTTCCCATAACCAGGATCTGTTGGATCTGCTTGATTTGGATATGTCGTCGACGACGAATGCGGGACCACCAACGGGTGGAGGTGGCGGTGGAATTCTGTCATTGTCCATTGGCGATAACAACCAGAGTAGTGCGGCAGCGGCGTCGTCCAACATGAACAACATCTTGGGTGGCCTGGATCTAGGTGGATTTGGTTCCGGTCTGGTTGATGGTTCGGCGTCCAGTATACCAACAAATGGCAATGATTTGGCCAGCATGCTGGGCGGATTGAGCGTCGGCGGTGGAATGTCAGCGGCATCGGTGCCCCTAGCTGCTGCTGCTGCCGGTAACCTTATCGATAGCGGCAATCTGCTGGCCGATCTAAATCCCAACAATGCCGCTCTAGTGGTAGGTTCTAGCTTTGGATTTAGTTTGGCAATTGCAAATATTAATAATACTATACTTTACAGCCTCCGAGGGGTCCTAAGCTAACAGCGCTGGATAAGGATGGACTGCTGGTGCAGCTGGAGCCGGTGTGGGGCAACGATGGCATGCGTATCTATGTGACAACCACGAATAGCTCAGATAATACCCTGGAGCAGTACTTGCTGAAGGTGTGTGCTCAAACCCTACTACTCTTTCTCTATATTTTGCAAATGAATATATATTTTGTTAACAGGCGGCCGTACAGAAGAGTTTCCAGCTGCAGATGGTGACCCCATCCGGCTCATTGCTGCCACCAGGCGGCGTTATTACTCAGGAGATGCGCGTTGTGGCCTCGTCGAATGTAAGCTTTTGGGGTATATAATATATAGTACGAAGTGTATAATGAATATTTCAATTCCTAGGCGACTCTACGCATGCGATTGCGCATCCAGTATATGCTCGATGGCCAGCAGCAGGTGGTGCAAACAGAAGTTAGCGGCTTCCCAGATCAGCTGCCAGCGAGCGCGGAGTAGGGAAACTTTCAACTGTATTAAAGCAAAAATCCAGATTAGCCTAATATATAATGCAAAATTCAACACAACAGCAGCAGCAGAAGCAACACTAACACACACACACACACACACACTGTGGTTGTCACACATTTATTGTAAAATAAGTTAACACACACACAGAGAAAGACAGCGACACCGACACGGACACCCACAGCCACGCCCACACCCACACCCACACCCACAGCAAGGTCTAGAAAAAAACACTTGTCGAGACTGTTTTTTAAGCGGGAAAAAAATCAGAAGAAACAGCAAAGAATCAGTTAACTTTATATATATATTTTTATTTGTTTCTAATTTATATTTCTATATATACATAAACACACACACACTATATACCTTGTCAAATCGAAATTGTTTTTTATTATATCCCGATTTCCCTCAATTCTGTGTGTTTATTTTGTAAACTTTTGTGTGTAAAAGACAACGTTCAGTTTTAATTTAAGACAATAAAAGTCATACCCATCCTATAACTATCCTAATACCGCATCCTCAAACAAAAGTAACGCAAAACCGATTGTGAAATTATGTTGGCAAAGCATTTAAGCACGAAATGAAGATGAAAAAGCTTAGCATTTTGAAAATGAAGTTAAGGAAACGAATGAATGCCATTTCAATCAGTTGATTTTTGTTATATTTCTATATATATATGTGTAATTCGATATTCCTCAATCTGAATCTGTTCTCTCTTTATTTACCCCACTATATAAGCATTCATATTATATATATATATATTCTGATATATATTATGTATTGTTATTTCCTGTGTGCGCACGTACTTAAAGCGGAGAGGAGAATCAGGCAGCAGCAACCACAGAGAAAGTCTTAAAGAAATAAAACAAAAAGAAGGCATAAGCCAGCAGATAGCGCACTGTGGAAAACTAGATAATATCTATTGATAAATATAATTATAACGAAGGAGCAGGATGAAGCAGCAGCTTAGAACTATATATGTAACTGATTAGTTGCTGTCGGCAAGGACGATTGCGATCACAATGTTGATGATGATCGCGGGAAGCAAAGAAAATCCATTAACTATTATTATTATTATTATTATTATGATTATAAATGAATTACATGCAGCTGTATTGGACAAAAGAAAGAGAGATAGATAGATAGTGAGAGAGAGAAAGAAAGAAAGAGAGGTAGGAAGGGAGGGAGGGAGAAGTAATAACATTAACATATTGTACAATATATAATTATTATTTTTGTATTATTATCATTTCCTTTATATCTTATACTTATATTCCACAAACCTTTTGAGCCGAAATAAACAAACGATTTCGTTTTATCGAAGGACAAAACCAAACAGGACTTTTTATTATTGATCGGAATGATGGATCGATCGATGTATTTCAGTTGGGTCTGGTATTCACGAATAATTAAGGTCGAATTCTATGCGTTGAATTAAGAGAGTGGTTGAATAATTATTACTAATTATTATTATAAAACAGCTATCATAAAAAGTCTAATTTTAAATGGGAAAATGCTTTAAAAATGTTTCTTACCAAAGGTTGCTAGCAGCATGTTGTGCAACATCCCTTGGTTATGGCAACATGTCAATGTTGCACAGGTTAAGCACCAAATATGTAGCAAATTTTAGTGTAGACAAACTATGACTCAGAATTAAAGCAATTAATCAAACTGAACTAAAATATTTAATCAGCAGATATATACTACATATAAAAGTTATAAAAATCTTCACTGGGACTTACCATAGAAGAGGTTCCAAAGTTATTCCATTTCTCCACAGCGTTGACTTGTCTGGGATCGATGTTCCTCGGAGAGCAGAACTTTAATTAATTATTTCCAGTGAAGAGGCTCCTCTAAGTTAAAATAGTCGTATCATCCTTCTGGGATCGGAAATCTATCACTGGCACTATAGGTCCGAACACGGGAGAAGCCGAGTGGTAACTGAGGGGCGGCTCGGCGGTAGTGCCTCTATTTATACTCCTCGATTGAGCAGAGAAGAGCGGAGAAGAGCAGAGAAGAGAAGAGAGAGTGAGAGAAAGAGAAAGTTAGAGAGTAAGGCTTACAGATAGAAAGCTAGCGTTAGCGAGAGGGAGAGAGAGAGTGGGATGGAGAGAAACAGAGCCAGAGAACATATACATTTATTAGAAAATAGTAAAGATATTATCGAATTCTATTAATTTCCCTGATCGTTCCTGTGGCAGCTATATGACCTTGCCGCCCTTACCGTGAAAGCCGACTTTTGGAGGTAAAAAATTTAATCATAGTGCTTATTTTAATTACGAAATCATTTTAACGTAACATAAACATAAAGAAAATATATGTAAACAACAAATTAATAATTGGCAAGAGATCAAAGCAAGGCAACTGCAGCCGGATGTGCTATTTTTTTGACCTCAACTGTATATGCAGTGCCGCAATTCCAGCCCGCCAAAGTAGGCTACAAAAAGAATGCCGCCCGCCGAATGCCAAATGCCGAATGTGTTATAATGCCGAGTTCCATCTCTCTCCCTCGTAAACGCAGAATATATCGATGCACGTGACAGATTCAAATCACAGAGCTGACAGGCCATTCAGCTTACGTTGTTTATTCTCTTCTCAGAACTCCCCATCGTCCTGCCCTGCAATCGTAATCCTAATCCCCGGCGAATCTCTACAAACAAGTGTAGGCGAATAATGGAAATCATCATGGGATAATGCTCGGAATCAAGATGTCTCAAGGCTGTCAGCTGTGCCGCCAGCTTTGCCAGCTTCTGGTCTCCCTTCTCCCTTATCATTCTCCCCCTCCCTCTCTCTGAGTGTTCTTCCTTGCAGCTTACACAATGTTGCGAGTTTAGCGGTTTTACAATTGTGGATAATCTTTTGGGGATTTTGTTTTCAAGTCACATTCAAAGAAAATGCAATGCAATAATTACGAAAATCACACTTTAATGTGTACATTTTAAGCTTTTAATATTTATTTAAGCCGTAATTAAATAACCCCTTTAAAGAATCATGGTCATTGTTCCGTAAATATTGATAATTTATTTTTTGCCATCACTGTTGCAGCTGTCGTTCATTGTTTCAGCTCCCCCTTTTCCTTCATACGCTTTCTCCTTGTCTGACGCTCTCGCTCGCGATGCTCCTTTGGGTGTTGCTCTCTTCAACTGGCGCACTCTCTTGACGTATTGTAACCTTTGGTAAGGTTAAATGTGAGCTGCGAAGCCCGCGAATTGTGCCACGCCAAAGAAGTGAGGGGGGTATGGAGGGGGTGGAGGATGCAGAGGCGCCGACGCATTGGCAGGATGTGGGATATACGGATATAGCCGTGGACATGGATACGCGGCTCTTCCTCTTATCCCTAGCATCCAACTCGAACTCCGACATGTTGCCTGCAACCTGTTCGTGTTGCTCGTGCTTGTTTTCCCTCTCCCTCAAAGTCGCCACAGTCTCCCCCTCGCTCGTGCTACCACTCGAACTCCAACTCCCACGTGGGTGTGCTTCGGCTATAAACAGCATTGGCATCGGCATCTGTGTGCGTGTGTGTGCGAGAGAGTATATCGATGCCGCAGCTTCCCTATCAAAATCAAACGGATTCAGCATCTCCATCGGTATCAGTATCAGTATTAGTACTAGTATTAGTATTAGTGCTGGTATCAGCTCCCACATCAGCTCTACTTTAGGCTCTGCCTCTGCCTCTGCTGCGTCGCTGCTGTGGCTACAGCACAGGATTCGGTGTAGTGCAAGTACAGTAAAGCTTGCTTTACACTTTCAACCAACATTATTTCTGTAAATTTTCTGTCATTTTTGAAATCTTACAATTATTTCTATTAGCAGAAATATATTTGTAAAATTTGAACAATATTAAATAAAAGTATTTTGTTAAATAAATAATAAATACATAAATAAAATCCGTGTCATTTATAGGAACGCTCAACTGTACTTTCCTTGTGTGAGCTCTCAAAGGGGGAAGAATCTGGGACTCCGGGGGCTGCCTGTCGTTGCAATGATTGAGATTAGTTTCCATTTCTTAATTGAAAAGTTGCTCTAATCTTTTGATATTTGTGGAAATTTGCCACAGAAATTTATCAATTTTCCGGCTCCAGCCTTGGCCGCCTTTTGCCGCCCCCACTTTTTCGCCTCTTCCCCCCCCCCCCCCCTTTTGAACTACAGTTGCTTTCTTGAACAGAAATCGCCCTTCGGGGCAGCTGCCATTGCACTGAACAAAATAATTGGGGACTTCCCATCTCTAAGGAATACGAAACCAATTAGTTTGAAAGGTTATTTAACGACAGAAAGCAAAATTTTAAATATCCTTTTGGGCTATAATGTATGTAAGTACGTAGAGGGGTACATAATTATGGTCATAACAATATAATGAGGTCATTTCGCGGATATTTATGTTTGTATATAACCAAGAGTCCATTAAAATTTGACACCTGAAGCTTAGTTGGTTTATAGGAAACTTGTTAAATGATTGATGATTTTTCTTAGGTATTTTAAATAATTATGACAATTTTTAAATTAGAAATTAATTAGTAAAATATGATTATTTCGACTTCCAAGCTTTTCTTTCAGTGTCTTGTTGCTGGCATCTGCCTTTGTTGTATTATTCCCTTGGCCAATCTCCTCCACACTCCGGCACTTGTGGGAGGCCAGGGAAAAAGTAATTTTGTGCAACGATGCGACGACCCTTGGCCAAAAAAAAAATACAAAAAAACAAAGACAACACAGAGGAAAAAAAATAACAACATAGAAACACAGAAAAAAGGCAAAACAAGGGCAGCGGCAACAGCGGGAACAAGAACAAAATTGTAATGAGAAACCTTTTATGGCACAAACACATGCTCGCTTTTCCCACCCAAGGCCTCCACCCACTTTCCACTCCCCCCCCCCATTCAACCCGCCAAAGCAAAGTTATCTCTTTTGCTCTCTCTCTCTTCTCGTTTGCCTTTTAGTCGTAGTCTAATTTTATTTGGTTGTTTTTGCTGCTTCATCTGCTGCTTCCTCTTCTTCAACATCTTCCACTTTCTTCTTTTGTCTACTTAGAATTAATAATTTTTGTTGTTGTTACTCTTTTTTCCATCTCCATCTCCATCTCCTTCTTCATGTTGTAATACAATACATATG